TCTTTTTTTTCTAGTAAGAGAGAAGTAATAAGATTTTAATATCTTTGGAATCAGCTTGTCATGCAGCAGTCGTATCTCGTGTTTGTTTATGTACGTAGCGTATTCTATTCAAAAATGAGTGTACACTTCTGTCACGCGCTCTGTGTGTATATGTATAAGTGTATTTGTGATGCTTTCTGTTTCTTCTCTCTCTCTCTCCCTTTCTCTCTCTCTCTTTCTTTCTCTCTCACACACTTCTCTCTTTCTCACTCTCTCTCTCTCTCACTCTCTCTGATTCTCATCTCTTCTTATGTCATTTCGTGTTATTTTTCTGATTTCTATAATCTCGGATTTCTTTCTAAAGTCCAAATTGGAATGATTTTTCTTGCATTTCTTCGCTAGAAAAAGCAAAGACTCTATCGCAAAAATTTGCAAATTACATCTCAAACACACACTTCCAAGAATACTTAACTTCAGTCTATTCTCTATCTTTCGTCTTATGTCAAATAATTTTTAACTCACTAAAGGCCACGATGTATCATAAAAGATTTAATTCGAAGAAAAAATTGTAATATATTGAAAAATTATAAAATAGAGAGAATAAGAAATTTTTTATTAAAATCTAATACATCTAATACATTATTAAAATCTACACAAATTTCAAATTAACAAAAAGTATAATCTATATATTTGTGTAAGATTTTTTTTATAATCTTCGAACCATGAAAAGATTTTTATAAATTCGTAAATGCCTGTAATTACAATATGAAATTTTTGACAATGTATAATTCTTTTCTGACATTTAATATTCTATTAATAATTATATTAATTAAAAAATAAAATTATTACAATTTTATTTTTATATTTTTTTTTTTTTTTGAAAATAAGCCATTAGTGAGTTAAATACAAAGAAGGATTTAGCTCTTAACATATATTAGCCGCTGAGAATTAAAAACAAAAGTCATCTGTAACGTTCTCTGCAAATTTAATGATATACATATTAACGCATTTTTTTATCACTTTAATAATCTCTTTTAAAATTTTTCACTAATTAGTAAAATAATGATTATCACTATTTGTTTTTATAATAATAGTTACTCCATAATAAAATTTTCGAAAAAATTGAAAAGTAACGAAAATAAAAAACGAAAAGATATGTGCTTCTCTATAAAATAGATCATCTTCATATTTTTCCTTTTTATTTAATTATTATTATCATTATTATATATTATCATTTTTCTTAATTCATCTAAAAAAATTCTTTTTTCTTTATTTTTTTTCTCTTCTCAAATTTTATCTTTTTGTAATTATATTCAAGTTTGTAACATTGCAATTACTTTATTTAATTCAATAATCGCATTATACAATTATGAATCGATAAAACTCGTTCCCGTACGTTTTACCTTTTTTCCCTCTTTCACTTTCTTTCCTACATTCTTTCTCTCTCAATTCCTCATTCTTTTTGTTACCAATCTCGCTTGAAATCAACCTCACTTATCGAAAGATGATCATTACAATTGTTTTACGTAACACAAATTATTTATATTTTGGCAAAGTCTATTATAAGAGATTATGCTAATTATTGATAATTAACTAATTATAATAGGAATTTCGATCGCGATAAAAATACTGCATTATTCTGAAACTTCAAGGCATTTGCTCAAAATAAATTGCTATTTATGTTACAGATTCTTTCTAAAATTGTTTCGACGTCCTAATCGCGTCTTCTGTACTTACTTAGTATTTTTACAATTTAAAGTACATTTTTTTCGTTTCAGTATACATATAATTTAGCTTAGAAAATTATGAGATCTCTACTCTAAAAAAAATCTCTATTTCTAAAATCGCTGGATCGTTGGATATTTCGCAGAATTATCGATTATATATAATTATTTCTCAAAAATTAGAAATAAAAAACGATACGTGCGAATCCAAATACAGTGTGACAAATTTAATGTATGACTCCATAAGAGAATATCAAAAAGTTTACATAATTAGCGGGGTAAATAATTGTGCAGGGAAATAATTTGTTTTCTTTTTTATTCATTAAAGCAAATATACTGAGATGTAAAATATTCAATATAATACACAATTATTCGAAATAAACATAATAATAGGAATATTATAGTGTAAGACATATCGCGATATACAATCAAGAATAAGACAAAAAATGAAAAGAATCGATTTTAAAAATTAAGACAATGCGATATTTCTTCCTAAATCAAAAATATTAAGGGAATTGCTTAAGAAATTAAGAGAATCGCTCATTAATATCTAACAAATTAAAACTGAAAAGACGTATCTTGATGAAAGTAATTAATACATATATCAACTATATATATATATATATATATATAAATGATAATCAAATTTATACGGCAATGAAACTAAACATAATATCGCGTACAATACTTTGTGTTTTTACAACACTCATTTCAAAGCCCTTCTTTTTTTCTTTCTTTTTTACAGAAAAGGAAGAACTGCTTAATATTGCTTAACATTCGTACTAAACTTTTTAGTTTTCTGTATAATAGTTACAAACTATTATGATTATTATTCATTTTTAAGATCATGATCACAAAAATCATCATCTAAATATCAATGACTTTCATTCATGAATAAATCTTGTTTTAACTATGTTTTTTCAGTCGCGCTTTTCTTGCACTGTGTCATCATCCATTCTCTTTTGGACAAATTAATTTAATAACAATTTGAATTACAATGTATTTGAATATATGATGTATTATATTAGGTTGATTAAAAACTTGAATTGTCTCTATTATTAGAAAAAGATAAAAATTAGAAAACGAAATTTGACAATATAATCTTATTAATTGCAAACTATTTTACTTTTCTCTGAATAGAAATATTTAATCGCTTTGATACGCTTATAACAAATGTTTTTCTTTTATACATGCGTATTAGTACAGAGTTAGAACATATATTACTGTACCAAGTACAGTAATATAATTAAATATATTAGAAAATGTATATGAGAAAGTTTCTCAAATTTTCATTACATTCAACCATGCAATGAAATTATAGAGAAGCATCAATTACTCACTTTTATTGTCATGGATACATTAGACTGATGAAAAGATTTGTTCGTGTTTGCTTTAAGAAAATATTTTTGTTTAAAAATTTTAATTTGTCATTGGTATACCGCATGTTTTAGAATTATCTTATTCATAGTTATAGGAAATTAACAATTGTTTGGTAAAAAGTTAGAAGAGTAAGAAAAAAATGTGTTAAGTTATTTTTTTTTAACAAAATTACTACGCACGTGGAAAAAAAAGAATCTTTCTTTTTTTATAATCAACCCAATATATTTATATTATTGTGTTGTGTTGTGTTGTGTCCAATACATTCGCACATCTTAATATATATCTCTTCTATTTAATCGTATCTTTTATAGTCTAATTAAACTCTTTGCTTATTGTAAGATTTAGATATTTTTTTCTAAATTTCTTGCGTAAGAAAAAAAAGAGTGCGAGAAAGAGCGCGGCTAAACTAAACAGATCTATGTTGTATAAAATTATCAGGAAGATAGATTGCGATATAGACCCGACTGTCTTCATATTATACTGTCATCACTATGCTCTGTCCAACTGTATTTGGTTTAATCGCAAAAATTACATCAAAATGCATTCTATCCGTGCGGCTCTACAAATGCAAAAATGCAAGCAGAAAATCACGCATATACACAAGTATACTGCAACTTTCATCCTGTTCATCCTCGCACTCTCCCTAGAGCGCGCGCTCGCTTACACACGCATACATACACACACGTGCACTTTTCTTCTTCCTTTCATTCTGTTTCTAGCATTCTTTTTCTCTCTCTCTCTCTCTCTCTCACACTCTTTCTTTTTCTTTTCTAACCAATTTGATTAAATGCACTTTAGTGCGCCAAAATCATACATTACATAAACTATGTAAAGGTACATAAATGTAAAACGTCTAGGTTGATAAAGTAATCAATACATAATTTTATTTTTTTAATTTCGACTTTAGTTAAATAGATATATATCAATCCTCAATGCTGTCAGATATGTACAGGTAAATAAAATATCAAGTGTATAATAATTAATTATATATTTTATAAAAGCCTACTATCTAAATATTCATATACTTAATATATTTTCAAGAATGCTATACAAATAATTTTGTGAAGCGATATAAATTAATTAATAATCAGAGAAACATTCAATGTTCAGATTTCTTGCTGTCAATTCATGATATTATTTCATGTTGATTATGCGTATAATAAATTCAAGAAAATACAGTTTTGCAATTAGATTCCTATTTTGTGTTTATTAATAATTTTACAACAGTTTTCTCGTATACCGCAATAAAAGGATCAATATGTATATAAGCCAGGTTCTCACAAAACGCGAATAAAAAAAAAAGAGCTTTCTGGGAAGCCGACAATCTTTTAATTGGTCTTTTAATAAAATGTTAATAAATGACGGAAGATTCGATCTTATCATCATTACCAACATATATTCGTTGAAACAATGTCGCGAAGTAATAATATACTTGTGGTAAAAAGATGGCATCTAATCTCAATTTAGGGACTCGTGTATACATACATCTTTATTCCAATTTGTATACAAAAGTGGATGTAAATTTGTATATAAATTTGCATAATTTTTTTGTACAACTCGTTTACGCAAAAGTTTGTGTTATGTACCTCCACATAAATTTATGTACGAATTTATATCGAAGCCTTTTAATAAACACCAGAGAACGCGCACTAATATTTAATCAAATTCGCTATTTCTTCCATTCATACTTTCTTGCTCTCCGTTCTTCTCGTCTACTTCTTTTTCGTCACTCTCTCTCAAAGCACAGATTCCCTCTAGAGTTTCTCGGAAGAAGCGGAGCGGACAGATTTTATGGGGCAGTCGTATCGGCCGTTCTTTCGCCATCATTATTCCCATCGCTGAAGAAGAAGTAACAGTAATTACTTCCAGATGTAGTTGATTAAAATGATTCAATCTAATCATCAGGGGTGGGGGGGGGGTAATGGGGGTGGGGGGGGCAGAAAATTAGGGGTGTAGTAGTAGTAGTGCCGATGTGGTGGTCGCTCGAGTTTAGAATGCGGGGGGTGGGGGAGGAGGCAGAGGGGAGGGTGGTTCGTTCGCGTTATCAGAGGGGGTCGTTAATTATAACGTATCATTCAAGGTCAACGGGGGCTCGGGGCGGGCGGGCTCGGCCGGGGGTCGGGCTCGCTCACTATGCTGTGTGGTAGACCGGGCAGTCCGGCGGTGGGGGGGGCCCGGCCGCGGGACCACCGCCGCCGGCGGCGGCCGCACCCACCACGCCCGCGGCGGACGGGGGTCCGCCGCCGCCGACCGCGGCAGGGGGGCCCTGCGGCCCTGCGGGCCCGCCGCCCGCACCTCCCGCGCCGCCGGCCCCGCCGCCCGCGGCCCCCGCCACCGTTACGGCGGACGAGGACGAGGAGTTGGGCCCGCCGATTCCGCCGCCCCGCCCCCACCACCACCGGCCCCGCCGCCGCCACCTCCGCCACCGCCACCACCGCCACCGCCGACCGACGACGGAGTGTCCACCGCCGGCACCGGGCACCGGGGGTGGGGGCGCAGTATCGTGAGGAGTCGTCGAATGCGCTGTCTGTTGTACCGGCAGCGCCCCAGCATAGTATCCGCCGTTGATGCCCTCGGAGTAACTGCTGAAGAAAAGAGAAAGCGAAAACAACATCATGGGCGAGACCTCGAAAATTTCGCGCGCCACTTTTTTTTTTCAATTCAGTACTTATGTAGGAGAGTAGCTTTTTAGTTTGTTTTTTTTTTTTTTTTTTTTGTGGTGTGTAGAGCTTCCAATTTTCTTTTTCTTTTTGACTCTGTGTGTGACTTTTTCGTTACGCTCTAGGTGGCGCTCTAGGTGTGCTCTAGGTAGAGTAGCAATCGTTCCTCGCCAACGAGAACAGGAACGCGAGAATGCACACACAGGTCATCGAGATTCCCGAGAACGGAATCGTCTTTTTCTTTTTCTCTCTTTCTTTCGTGTCATTTTCTATATAAGTCTCGTCTAAGCGCTTAGTCTTTACACTCTATACACACACGCATCGAGAGATTTTGTCACGCTCGAGTTTCACGATCGCTTTCGGACTTTCACTCGGAAGAGAAGAGAAGTTAACATCTGCTCGAAAAGCCGTTTCTGAAAATTACCAGAGATACAGTGTTACTCATATCACGAAATTGATCTAATAATATTTTAAGAATTTTTCCGTTAAATTTTACTAAGGCTTCTGGCTCCTCTCTCCTTGTTGTTATAATAGCGCCATCATTCGAACGAATATTTCCGTCTTTCAGCAATTTCAACAATTCTTACTAAGATTCTCTCTTTTTATTGACGAACAAAAATATTTACTTTTATTTTTTTTTTTAATAATTTCTACAAACAAGAAGAAAAGAGTATTTTCTTCTTTAAATATTTTTTTATCTTTATTCTAAAATTTTTTATTATTTTACCAACACTTTGCGCAAATTGCTCTAATAAAAGATATAAAGAAATTTTGGAAGAAATGGAGTTTATCTTTAAAAAAAGATTTATACCAAGTTTGTGTCATAGTTTCATAACTATCTCGAGTATAATTTTAGTTTCTAAATATAAATTTTAAAATAAGTTTAAAATGTCACTTTTTAAAATTTTCCAAAATAAACACGATGATGCGCATAAATCAAATTGACTTATCTTCATGACGTTTATTATTATTTTTTTTTTTTTAAGATATTGAAACAATCTGATAAAATCTTTAATTTTTATTTTTAATTTCGTTTATTCCATTTTCTCCAATAATATATTTTATATCTTATTTATATTCAATAGTTATATAATTTGTAAAATATAGAAATAATAAAACAGATTCTCGCTCTCTTCAATCAGTCTTAAGGTATTATGACATCATAACCCAATATAATAAATTATACGTTGAGATTAGCGCCATATACACGCAACTCGTGTCTCGATTTTTTTTAGAAAATGCAGAGAGTATATCATATATATATATATATATACACAAGTCAGCACTTGTCAAGAAGATTATGAAGTCAGAAGCGATAAATCATATAAATTATTTTTCTCGCTGATACGAATCGAAGTAAATTAATTTTGCTATTACTCGTATTTGAGAATATAAAAAATACAAATAAATATAAATTAATAAAATATATATTATATATATACATTAAAAACTCTCTTTTTAGTGTTAATAATTTTATACACGCGTTATAATCAATTTTTCTCATAAAAACAAATAATAGTCGATCGAAGATTTATTTATAAATATAGGAATTACCGAAATCTTCGATTAAATCTCGAAAAAAAATTAATTTAATTCGATGCATAGTGCGAGAAAAAAAATTCATGCGATTTTTTGATGTCATAACTTAATAAAATGGCGCTGCAGTGAGGGGCCAGGAGCCTTAATACAATAAGGAGGGAGAAGAGAGCAGGCATATGTATAAAAACAAATTTTTATAGTTCGCGTTATCAGAAAAATATATAAATGATACATTCTTAGTACATTTTTATAGCTTATGCTATAGAAAGATACAAATGATATATTTTTAAAATATACAATACGGATCTTTATAATTTTTTGCATAAATTTGATCAATTTCGTGACAGTCACTGTATCCCTTTTCCCCCGGTGATTTGCAATCAAAGAAAAAAGAAGAGAGAGGAATGTAAACATCGTATATAAATGTAATATATACTGTGTCGATATAACTGCATATATATATATGTATATATATATTTCTATATATATATATATATATATGTATATATATATAAAAATATCCGTCTACGTCTTTTTCTTTTCATTCAACAAATCGTGAGACAGACTTTTTTTTTAATTATTTTTCGAACTCTGAGAATCGCGGGAGGCAGGGGGAGGCAGGCAGACAGAGCCTGGCTGGGGAAGAGGGCGCTTACCCAGTCGAGGAAAGGAAGTATTCCTTGTTCACGCAGTTGCGCAGGCAGTCGGGTATGCGGCCGACGATCGCCCGTCGTATCTCGCTCGCCGCCATCTCGCGTAACTCGGTGCAGCTTGCATCACTGTAGAAGGCGGCATGTGGGGTGCACAGTAAATTGGGCGCATCTTTCAATGGACCTATACAATACATATTGCAAAATCGGCGATCAAGAAAATCAAAAGCATGTTTTTATATACTTTCTACAAAGATGTATATAATATAGAAAAATGTGATTAAATAACTGGCTCTCTTCTTATAAAAGTTATGAATAATTCTATAATGCGATATACAGTAGACAATTTTTGTGAACAGACTTGAATATAAAATACAAATAATAAAATTGCGTAGAAACTTAGCTAGTAATTTAATCTTTAATGAATATAGGATTATTTTTTGCCATAAAATATACATCTTTATTTATAATTGCTTCTCTTTTTCTTATTTTTTCTCTTATGTTATTGAATCTTTTCTTTTCTTTTATAAGCCATGGAGGAAGTTTGGAAAGGTAAAAAATAGTCAGTCGAGACGGAGTTAGGCACCGGGACAGATAAGACTCACACTGATTCGCGGACTGACCCTGAAAGACGTTGTATGGCTCGTTTTCATGGACATCTAATGCCGCCGCGCGAATTCGACCTTGTTTGAGCGCTGCAGCAAGCGCGTCGTCGTCCACCAGACCACCTCGCGCTGTATTGACTAAAAATGCTCCCGGTCTCATCTATAGACAGATGCATAAAGTTTTCTTCTTATAATGTAATTAAAATTCAATATATTTTCAGAGATTTTTCAATTACGCAACAAATAATACTGTATAAATTAAATTATATCACGTCTAAATATAATATTTAAATATTAGAAAAGTAGTAACAATTGGTAAATAAAAAATAATCTTATAAAAATGCTGTGTCTCTGTAATAAAAATTAGTCTTTTTGTGTAAAATAAAATTAATTTATACTGGAAAATCGATTAAATGTAAAGTTTCTATATATTAATCGAAGACTTTCTAAGTAATTCTTATAATTTTATAGACAATGCAATCACAAAATACATATATATATATATATGTATGTATGTATACGCGCGCGCATACACACCTGTTTAATAGTATATTCGTTTATTAGATGATGATTGTGTTCGTTCAAGGTACAGTGTAGAGATACACAGTCTGATTGGAACAGCAAATCCTATAACGAAAAATAAATTTGATTAGAAGAAATTAATAAATACCATTAAAAATTTTCTGTTCATTAACTACTTGATTATTTTTCTCAAAATATAAAATTACCATTTATATTAAATATTGCACATTTAAAAATTTAATTATACTTTTATATGAATTATCTAGAATTGACTTCTCTCGATACTAACATTAAAATAAATTAAATTGCTAATTATTTTAAAATGTCCTAGAAACATGTTTTATATGTAGTCGGAATACAAATTTATATTATTATACAAAGAAATGTATATCTTAAAATAAATATATATAATATTAAAATATAAAACTGTTATAACATGTATGCAAATGCTATAATGAAATTCTACATTATATTTAAAAATTTATATTTTTAATTTATACTTTAATTTATAAAAAAATGTATTTTAATTTATATCAAAATCGATTCCAATAGTTAATATAATGATTAAAATCAGTTTAAATAAAGTGTACAAACCTGTAATGTGTAAACCCTGGTGAGACCTAGCGATTTCTCGATACCGTCTGGCAAATAAGGATCATAGAAGATGACAGTAAAGCCAAAAGCTTTGGCACGCAACGCGACAGCAGAACCGATCCTACCGAGGCCCACAATACCTAGTGTGTCACCCCGTATCCTTGCGCAACCAGTTGCTGCTTCTCTCACCTGTAATATACGTAAAACATGACGCAAAAGATTTATATATATATATCAGGAAATTGCCCAGAATTTTTAATGATAATATATTTTCGTCAATAATATATAATTTTAATTAAAAAAAAAAGAAAAAATTACTTGTTCTGGTCCTGTGAATTTCTTGCCCTCGCGCACCATATTCGCAAGCCAGTAAGTGCGTCGATAAAGATTTAGTATAAGACAAAGAGTTGTATCGGCCACCTCTTCAACGCCATAACCAGGCACATTACACACTGCAATGCCGAGCTCGCCGGCCGCCTTAACATCGATGTTGTCCACTCCGGAACCAATCCGGACGATGATTCGCAGCGTCTTGAACTTTTCCAAATCCTCCTTTGTCAAAATTATCGTGTGCCACATCAATGCACCCACTGCTTCGTTTAATACCTATATGAAAATCATTATGTATTAATTATATCAATTATTCCAATATAATATTGTTTTTAATTATTGCATAAATATATTATATTAGAAATTAAAAAAATAAACATAATACAAATATGTACAAAATATATTAGATACGCTAAAGAAATACATAATAGTATTAAAAATTTTATGTATAAATAAAATTTAAAATAAAAATTTAAAATATACATAAAATTTAAATACTATATGAATTAATCCTTTGTGATCCAAGTGGTTGGCTTTCAAAATTTCAGTGTTCTATTCCCTAAATGAATTTAGTTGTCAATTAAAACAAAAATTTGCTTACTAAATAAGTCATCTTTTAATTTCATTATATATGTATTTACCATTAATATTCTTTTTATCATTGTTGATTTGTTTCTACTCAGTGATTAACATCATTATACATTATTTCTTGTATACAACACTTAATTGTAAACATTGTGGTGTGTGTGTGTGTGTGTGTGTGTGAGTGTGTGTGTGTGTGTGTGTATCCAACTATTGTTTTTCAAATATATCTCGGTTTAAAAGTAGCCCTAACTTTTTATTTTTGTCCTTAATAAATTGTAAAGTTATTCCTTTTTCTATAAATAAATTTTTGAAACATATAAATTAAATATAAATCCACACATAAATTCACACATGTAAACTGCCAACATCTTGCAAAAATCTGCAAAAACTGCAAAAAAGAATTAAAACAAATATAAAATATAAATTAATACATTATATAAATCTTTTTCTTAAATTAGAAAAATAAAAAGAAATTTAAATCAGATTATTAATTAAAATCATTAAAAAAATTTAGAATTATGTAATAATGTATGATAAAGAGAAATGTGTCAAATATATTGTTGAAGCCAGTTATTATTCTCATTTATTTACACATAGATTAGAGCTATTTATATTGCCATTGTCTTCCATATGTAGAGATTATTAACAATCTAAATAAAAAAATGACATGTTCGTTATATGAAATGTTTATATATAAAGATTCATAGATAGATTGGTTTCAATGAGAATATCCTTATGATTTGTATCAAATAGACACACGAGTATGTAATGTAAATAAAAAATCAAAATATATATAGATATTAGAAAAGATATACAATTCCTGAATATAATTGCAACGTAATAATAATAATAATGCTACAATTATATTCAGAAATTAAAAAAATTAATCCAAATTGTTCTACACAACTTTTAAACAATATTTTATATAACAATACAACATTATTGATAAAATATTTTAATTTTCTTGAATATTTTCATATCTGCCTTAATGTTAATAATTTGATACTGTTACAAAGCCAAAGTTTAAAAAAATTATATTCTCACTAATATTTCACAAAATATGAATTATAATTACATTCTCTCTTTCTGTTATTCTTGAATACTTTTTAAATGTTCCAATTCTCTAATAAGAGTTCAATACTAATAAAATTCTAACGTATACGCCTTTGATTACCTTCTCGTGTATCTCTGAAGTGGACTGCGCATCACAAAAGGCAACAGTTGCAACATCCTTGAGGATGGGCATCTCAATGGAGCAATCGCGACCATCGAGAAGTGCAACTAGTGGTCGTGTCTGAATCGGTCCGTTAGCAATCGGACCCCTCAAGTTCTCCATACGAGGGCGTTTGGGCATCATCTTCCGTTTGTCCATCGGTCAGCAGACCGCCCCCCCTATTTTTAATATTTTCACTGTGCGCTCTCAGTGTCACTAGAAAGAAAAATTACAATCGTTGCCCTCCCCCTTCCACTGTCCCTCCGAGAAACGATAGAAGACGACAAAATCTATCTATCAACAAGACACTCGCAGCGGAGGTGCCTCTTCTAGTCCAACTAGTATGTTTCAGCACTCTCTTTGTTTTTTCGGCTTTGTCACACAAACTGCTTTCGCAACACTGACTTCTGATCGGTCTTCAGGCAAGAACCGTCGAATCTCCAACGCATCACGACTTAATGAACACCGTCTCCTGAAATTCATATAAAACAAATGTTATTATATTATATACATATATTTAAATTATATTTGTAATATTAAGTTATCGCAGTTCTCATCTCTGTAGTATTATAATTAATGCAACACATTAATATAACAATAATTTAACAAGCTCATGTCATTATCATCAATCGATTATATGCCTCTACGAGACATAAATCTCTGTTACAAGTTACATTGCATCGAATCAGGTAATTTACATACAAAGAATATATTATATATTGCATATATTATATATCGAATAATTATATATTAAGTACATTGTATTTTTTACACTTGCTCCATATTATATATATATATATATATGTATATATATATATATATATCACTTTGATATTTTCTATTATACTATCGTGCCGCCCCATTCGCAATTATTCGTTTTTGCTAATAAAAATAAATAACGCGAACGGCTGTATTCCGCAAACAGACACACACATTGTCGCGACATGAACCGCGCGGAAATGCGTCCGAGTGTACGCGCGGCTCCTTGTGGAAACGCCGAGACGTGCGTTGCACAAGGAGGCCGACGTCTCGCAAACAAACGACTCGAAATACGAATGAGAATGAAAAGTCGAGCGCATCCGAATGACAGGTGGAGTGCAAAGACCGCGGTGGGTGAAACGGCGTGCTCGCGAGTCGGTCGCCACCGCCGCTTCGCTTCGCGACTTTTTAGGTTACCTTGAAATGCGCCGGCTTAACCTGCGCAATAGGATAGCGCGTCGGCTAAGCTGGCCGACAACCGGATTCAGATTCCGTCTCCGGAACTCGGCGAACGCGGCGACAAACCGGACGGGACTCGCGGACTCGCGAAACCGATCGACGAGAAAAAACGCGAGAATCGAGAGGCGGAAAAAGGGAAACCGAAACTGCGCACAGAACCGCACAGCGGTGGCAGAGAAGAGAAGAAGGCGCTCGCGGATGCGGCACGACACGGCACGGAACACGGAACGCCACAGCGGCGCTCGCGCTCGCTCGAGGGCGCTGGGGCTGATGTTTTCGGCAGCGTTAATAGCGACCGGCACCCTTCTTCTCTCTCTCTCTCTCTCTCTCTCTCTCGGTCTCTGTCTCTCGCACGAGCACGCGCGGACGTTTCCAACCCGTTTTTCGGCGGCGACGAAGCCGATTGAAAACCAGTCATTGTAATGTCCGCGTTTGCAGGTGTTACATTTCCTGTGTACGCTTCGTTCCTCGCGATTTCTTCGCCGCGTTTAGACTCTGAGAGTACAACAGACGAAATCTTAACGAATAACAATTCTTTTTCAATAATCGAAGACTAGGAAGGACCTGTATCGTTTTAAAATCATTCTAATATTTATTCCTCTATTGTACGCGGGATCTTAAACGTCATTTTCAACGATTTCAATTATTGTAACTACGTATTACCATTTTCACGATGTGCCCTGGATATTCATTTATTAGTCGATCTATTATCTCAGGTGGCAGACTGACGTCATTAAACATCAAAATGACGTTATTTGCTACTCGGGATATTGTATTATCTATATAGTCTACTTTTTACATTCATATTTAATCTTTGGAACTTATGCCAAAAAAAATATCAAACTATTTAATGAAAGAGACACACAATTATTCAGAAATACATAAATAAAAAAACAACTGGAAAATAATATTATCTATTTGTTAAAAATGCTGCATGTATTTGTTATTCCCTAGTATATTACTCTAGAAATAAAAATGTACTAGAAAATATAATTAATATTTTATTCTGGAATGTGTTACCTTTTAGTGTCACGTTAATATTGCAATTATGCAGGATGCACGCATCGTAAATTGACGGGACATAGAAGAAACCTTAGGCAAATGGGGGGAAGGATACCGGAAAAGATATAATGTTCCCAATAAAATTTATATGGCGGAACGGAAAAATGCTGAGGGAGCGAAAAATCCGTAAAGATACGCGTTTTATAGATGGGCAATTTTTATTGCGAATTACCATTATGGCACAGTGCAGTTGACGTTTATTATGGCGAACGATATACGACAGTTAAATTCTTAATTAATTTTTATTTTTATGGAAAATCGCATTTTTATTAAAATTAGCGCCAAGTTATCATATTAGAAAAATTATTTGAGAGTTGAGAGGCGTTAGTCATATTTTATCGAATTACTTTTATACCATCAAAGGAATTATTAAAAATAGTTTTTTTTTAATTATGAACTGAAGAAATCGAGCCGACAAGTGGCGCCCTCGCACGAATGTCACGGATGCAACAATTATCGGAATGACACTTTAACAAAGATTCACGACGGATATAGCAGATTGGTAGCTTTCAGTTTTATGAATTTAAACTATTGTGTCTTTGGATCTATTACTTTTTGTTTTGTTATTTTTAATTTACTAACTACTTTGCTTCAACTCTATAACTTTATTATCCTTAATTCTTGGACATTTAGACTTTATATTTATAGTGTTTTAATATTATTAATTTCAAACTATAACTTCAGCTTTCGCTTATTAGCTTTATCCCGGTCTTTGTCACCTTGTAACTTTAAACTTTACCTCTAGTTTAAGTTTTAGATATACTTTTTTTATTTCATAATTTGTTCTTCGCCGCTTCGATTTCTTATTGCTTTAATGATATTTTTAATTATTGTAATTACTAAAGAAAATGATATCAATTCAAAATTGTATTAATTAATGATGTGCAATTTTATAATTTAGTTAACACGCGACAATGCATCTCCCTATTCTCTTCTCTCTTATTACGGAAAATAAATTTAAGAAATATACATAAGCGAAGTACTCGGTAACATCGCTCTAACAATAAGCGAACTATCTCGTAGCAATGAGATAGTTTCAAACGCGATGTCTTCATTCGACAAATATTCGAATGCCATGATTCAAATGTCGAAGTGAACGGATGAGGTAATATTGACGTAACAATGTTATAGTTGGAGCAATGCAAATCAAATTCGTTATTTACAGAATATATTCCGAAATTTTTATTTTGACATATAGATGACTGAAAAATAATAACTTGAAAATAAGGGAATGCAAAGGAAAAATAATAAAAATAAAAACATTTTAATTGAAAGTGCAATTTAAAAAAAAAGAAGCTACAATTAAGATATCCGGTGTTTTAAAATATGAAATAAAATTAAAAATTTTTATTTTTATCTCGCATCTCCTTGTTCTTATCCTTTTTATTTCCACTATACTTTCTGCTTTATTCTGTCTTTCTTATTTCTACATTAGCTATAGCTTTCTCTTTAGTTCTGATTGTTTGATGTTTTAATTCTTCCTTTATCTACAGGGTGTTAAAAAAGGATTACAATAATGATAAAAATACGAAAAAAATGTCTAATAAGCATGGGTCCTACGATTAATATCAATGCTACCTGTTCTGAAAATATGTAACCCTTTTTCGAACACCCTGTATATTTCAATTCCTGTGGAAGATACTCGTATTCGCACGGCAGGATTGTTGAATTTTGGACTATCGAGTGTGTATGCGTTACACATATAAGGTGGCGCGCGTAATCGGAAATGTAGTACGCGTAAGGGTAAAGGAAGGCTATGGAAAACGAGATCGCTGCTAGCCTCAGCGAAAGCGAGCCGCGAGGACGCGACACTAACGCTACGGACTCTGCCGAGGCAAGCACTTTGGCTTGGGCACATGTTGTGCCAACTCAGCGGAAACGTAAGCTCCTATCATCGAAAGCAGGAGGAGGGAGCGGGCGAGATTAAGCCCTTGTTCGACAGCTGGTAGCGTATATCACGCATTTGATGCACCGCTCAACAGCGGCGAAAGCAACACGCGTCGAGGAAGTATATACTTTGGAAAGAAAAAAAATGTGCTTATATCATGTGTGCGTGTGTATGTGCGAAAAGTGACGGGTTTTAAATTGATCATCCTTTATGTAAGAATCGTCATCATTTTCTCCAGAAAGTTAGGGCATGCACTTTCTACGAAATATCATTTGATGTAAATATGTCGGCTGTAGGAGCCTAACGCGATGTCTTGGAATAGTATCTTTGCTTCAGATCTCTAATTCCTGTGTTCCCCTTTAACCTCCCTGTAAAGCTATAGGCGAGAAAAATATCGGTTCGAAAGTCGGCTGAATCGGGAATTATCATCGGGATGAATTCTATTACTAGCGATAAATATTATCGTATAAACAAATAAATGTTTCTTCCCTACTATTTCTAGGAATCGCATGTTTCTCCCATAATTTGGATTAGTAAGTAAAGAATAGAGGATCCTTTAAATGGGACGCCTCGACCAAGTGGTTAAACTCAACCCTTCAACTTAATCCCGGTATGCAACAGAGCCTTTCGATTCAGAGAGACAAAGACGGACAGATCAGTGCTTAGAGGACGAAGAGGGGATGCGAAGGACAAAAGCGGAGGTGGGAATACAGGAGGATGAGATGGAGTTGCGAACGGGATGGGGCGCGCTATGAGGGCGAAGTTATCCAATTATTGTCTAACCTGGGAGCAACTTTACTTGGCGGAGAACCCCGTGGGTGGGGTAGCCAGGGAATGGGAAGGAGGGAAAAGCTCGGTCCTGCCGGCTCTGTCCCTCCATCCTCCTACAATCGAGCCACGATAAAGTAAAGTTTGTTTCAAAACTTGCCCCGCTCTCGCGAGAAGGGTGCAAGGGAGAGGGAGAGAAAAAAAGAGGGCAGAAGTGACTGGATTTTTGTTGGTGACACGTAAAATTCAAACAACTTTACTTTTCAATAATTGAGCCGAGCTTTTTTCACCCGCGATCGAATCGTAAATATATATATATATATATATATATATATATATATATATATATATATATGTATATATGGGAAATATATTCGTCCAACATCGATTCTCGTTTCACAGTTTAAAATTGATTTATTTATCGAGATTTTTCGAGAGTTAAATCGCAAAGATTGAAGACTTTAAAGTTGATCAACAACGTGTAAAACTGCGTCCGGTCATTGTCAGTGAAGAATTGGCTTTTTTATCAAAACAAACGTCGCCATGTAATCATACTCATATTATGCTTCCATCTGAAAAGTTCAGCACTACTCTTTGATTACACTTACTGATACAAGAAACACTACTATGTTGAAAATTGCCTCGTGTTTAAAAACACGACATGCCGTCTCTTTGTCCCCAAACAATAATAATAAAATATGACAGGATAATAAGACGAGATTTCTTCTATATGAAAAAAAAATAAATAAATAAAACACTGTAAAAGTACTCTTGTAGAGATTATTCCAATTTTAAATCTTGGCCGTGACCAAGTAAAATGTGGTGCCTTGTGCACAGGTATTTAATTCTAACGAAAAAAATTTTAGTTTCGTTGTGATAACGCACTGTCATCCGCGATTTGGCTCTTATTGCCTGTCTTACACTTTAAATTTATATTTGTATCACAGAGCCTCGTTAAACTCTTAATTTAAAACACTGTAATACCAATATTCAAATTGGATGGGGGAAAATCCATGAATACTCAAACGCTGTTGTGTCCTGTTTCGGTTTCTTTTTCGGACAGTGTTCCGCGCGAAGAAAAAGATTCTGATGGAAGGCAAAAGCTGAGGGAAGAGAAAGAAAAACAAGCGGGGGATAAGGAAGTCGTCCAATTATGACGGCGAAGTATCGGTGTCGGTAGTTCGGCCATTCTCGTCCTCTCGAGAGGGAGGAAAAGGGATCCTGCGTGGAG